TTTGTACATGTTAATAAACATGCATCTATTTGCATTCATCTTTATGCCCATATCCAGTTACACCAGCACCATTTGTTGATGTTTTTTGGTTTTCCAGTACATAATTCTGTAGTACAACTTGAGATCAGAGATAGTGATACCTCCAGCAGTTCTTTAATTGTTCAGGGTTATCTTAACTATCCTGGGTTTTTTGTTTATTTGTTTGTTTGTTTATTTTCCATATGAAGTTGAGAACTGTCCTTTCAAGGTCTGTAAAGAATGGTGTTGGAGTTTTGATGGGGATTGCATTGAATCTGTAGATTGCCTTTGGTAGGATGGTCTTTTCTCTATGCTAATCCTACCAGTCCATGAGCATGAGAGATATTTCCATCTTCTAATATCTTCTCTAATTTCTTTCTTCAGAGACTTGAAGTTTGTGTCATGTAAGTCTTTCACTTACTTGGTAAATTACCCCAAGATATTTTATATTATTTGAGGTCGTTGTGAAGGGTGGTGTTTTCCTGATTTCTTCCTTAGTTACTTTGGTTTATCATTTGTATATTTTCTTTTTCTCATTAATCTTGTATCCAACCACTTTGCTGAAAATGTTTATCAGCTATAGGAGTTCTCTGGTAGAATTTTTAGAGTCACTTACATATACTATTATATCATCTGTAAATAAAGATATTTTGAATCTTCCTTTCCAGTTTGTATCTCTTTGACATCCTTCATTTGTCTTATTGCTCTAGCTAAAATTTCAAGTACTGAATAGATGCGGAGTAGACAGCCTTGTCTTGTTCCTGGTTTTAGTGGAATTGCTTTGAGTTTCTCTCCATGTAATTTGATGTTGGTTATAGGCTTGTTGTAAATTGCTTTTACTATGTTTAAGTACGTCCCTTGTATCACTAATCTCTCCGAAACATAATGAAGGGGTGTTGGATTTTTTTCAAAGACTTGCTCAGCATCTAATGAAATGATCATGATTCTTTTCTTTCATTTTTTTTATCTGGTGGATTACATTTACTGATTTTCGTATGTTGAACCATCTCTGTGTCTCTGGGATGAAGCCTATTTGATCATGGTAGGTGATCTTTTTGATGTGTTCTTGGATTTGGTTTACAAGTACTTTATTGAGTACTTTTGCACCTATGTTCATAAGGGGAAATGTTCTGTAATTCTCTTTGTTGAGTGATGGGAGATGTTCTTCTGTATGCTGTGTGTGTTTCTCTTATTGGTTGGTGAATGAATGCTAATTGGCCAGTAGCCAAGCAAGAAGTATAGACAGAGTGACCAGGCTAGGAGAAAGCTAGGAAGAGGAAAGCAGAGAGTGGGTCACTGGAGAGATGCCATGTAGCACCTGCCAAAGGGTTAACATCAGAGCATTATGGGTAAGCCACAGCCTCATGTCGATACATAGTTTGATAAAAATGGGTTAATATTTAAGAGAGAGCTAGCCTAAACCTCAGCAAACAACCAAACAGTTTGTAATTGATATAAGCGTCATTATGTTTATTTGGCTAGGGAACAATATACATAGGCTTGAGAGAGAAAAGAAAAAAGATAAAGTCCTTTAAAAAGAAATATAGTAGCTGGGTGTGGTGGCACATTCCTTTAATCCCAGCACTAGGGAGGCAGAGGCAGGTGGATCTCTGTGATTTCAAGGCCAGCCTGATATAGAGAGTGAGGTAAGGACAGCCAGATTTACACAGAGAAACTCACATGCTTCCATTCTTTTGGTTTTACTGATATGAAATTATTTATTACCTGAATTTTCACATGTGTAGTTAACCTCCTTAGTTTGGATTTTTCCATCTAGCACTTTTTGTAGGACTGGGTTTGTAGGTGGAATTTGTTTAAAGTTGACTTTATCATGGAATATTTTGTTTTCTCCATTTGTGGTGATTGAAAGTTTTCCTGGGTATTAGTAATCTAGGCTGGCATCTGTGGTCTCTTAGAGTCTGTAGTACCATTGAGAGACATCAGGTGTAGTTTTCTGCCCTTATATGTTATTTGGTCTTTTTCACTTGCATCTTGTAATAGTCTTTCTTTGTTCTGTATAGTTAGTGTTTTGATTATTATGTGCTGAGGGAACTTTTTTTCTGGTATAATCTATCAGGTATTCTATATGCTTGTTGTACCTTTATAGGCATCCCCTTCTCTAGTCTAGAAAATTTTTCTTCTATGATTTTGTAGAAACTATATTCTGGGCCTTTGAACTGGTGTTCTTCTCCTTCCTCTATTCCTATTATTTGTAGAGTTGGTGTTTTAAAAGTGTTTCAGATTTTCTGGCTGTTTTGTGTCAGGAAGTTTTTTGATTTAACATTTTTACACCTGCAGGTATGTAGGCACTATGGGCCCTACTCCTTGTTCAGGTCTTTTGCCAAAATATTTTCTATAGTATTGATGACATACTGTGTATGCGCAACAGCCACGTGTGCTACAGTAGCCCTGAAAGTGAGCAATGGGATTGCTGTAAATTCTTAGAAGTACTAGAGGTGCCTTTTACCTGTTTATTAGAAGGTTTTGAAAAGGTTAAATTATCTCATGAGCAACATTTTAAATTTCATCTAATATGAAACTAAATTTGATTAATAGGACAAAAACATTGAATAAAGCTGCCATTAACTAACCTGTTCATCTTGACTTTCCTGTGTATAAAATTGCATTCTTTGAATTGCAGCAATAAAACCCTCTGTTTCCAAGAACTCTTTAAGAGGGTATTCTATATGTTCTGCATTATTTTATTTTCTGTAAATTTTGTAGGTAAATATGTGCATAAAAATACTTTATATATAAAAAAATATTTTCTCTAGTGTGCTTCATGTCTTCTAACCTCAAGGACAGCAACAACCTAGCCTACCTATTTGACTACTTGGCCTTCTAGAGAAGACTTGTCATTCATGTATTAAGCCAGTGTAACCAGTCCTACTTCTCCTGGGGATCCCATAGCTCTGTGAGGGACAGTCTCTTTTTCCAGTACTCATGATTGCTTCCATTTCCATTTTCAGGTCTTGAGCAGTTTTATTTGTTTCCTTCAATTGCTTGTTTGTTTTTTTGTTTTGTTTTTTACTTTCTTTAAGGAATTTATTCATTCTCTTGGATGGTTTGTTTGCACTTTCCTGGATTTTTTTCATGGGATTTTTTTTTCCATTTCCTCTTTTAAGACCTCTGTCATCTCCATATAGTAGTTTTAAGGTCATTTTCTTGTACTTCAGCTATGTTGGAATACTCAGCACCTACTTTGGTAGGATAGCTGAACTACAGTGGTGATGACATACTACCCTGGCCATTACTGACTGTGCTCTTAAACTGGTATCTAGGCATCTGGGTTTGGGGTGATTATAGGTCTGGATACTGATTTCTGGGTTTGTCTCCATTGGGTGGGAGTTTTATTCTTGGTTTCTGTTTCTCTGGATGTTCAGAGAGTCTCTTGGCTGGGCATTCCTTGTCTTACTGTACTGCTTAGCTGGTGTGTTATGGGGGTGGGAGGTCAGGAGGAGATGCTCTGAGGGATCCACAGGAAGCACCCACATGGGAGTGGAGATGCTTCTAGTGTTCTGTTGCAGCTTTAGGGGCAAACCTGAGAATTGGATCTGGGATAATAGAGAGGACCTGGGCCTGTAGCACTTCCTATCCCGAAACTTTCCTCTGGCTTTGGAGGACAGTGGGCTGCCTACCTGGCAGGCATTGCCTATAGTTGTTCACTGTGTCGAGGGCGGGGACATAGCAGTGTGGCGGAAAGGGAAGGGTAGGACTGGTCCTAGATTTATTAACTCAGTATCCTGGCAGATACAAACAAAAATTCACTTCAGAAAAAAATGTAAAATTAATTATGGTGATTATGGCATAACTTTGTAAAATGTACTAAAAGCTGTGAATTCTATATTTCACATATGTGGTATGGTTGATAAATTATAACCTAAAAAGACTTTTATATAAAAAGGAGGTGACATTACCCAAGACCTTGGGTTTTTTTTATAATTAAGTTTTTGGAAAGTAAATGTTACTAAAACTATGTAGATGCGTGAAGAAAGTCAACCCCATGAACAGTAACCAACCTAAATTATAAATAACATGAAAAACTCAAGGGTTTCTTCCCAGTATTGCTTTAGCTACAGACTCTTAAGACGGTGTGCTTATCTTGATGGAGTTAACACCAAGGGGAAACTTCAGGGAGGAGCTGAAGGCTGATGCTACAGACTGGAACAGCGTCCTAACACTAACCTTATGCTACAGACTGGAACAGCATCCTAACACTAACCTTATGCTTCTGGTACTGGCAGAAGACCATTCCATGACACTGCCTAACTTCTTCCTGTTTCTCTTTTCTGGCAGGGTCTCATGTAACCCAGGCTGTCCTTGAACTTATGTAGCTGAGGGTGACCCTGAACTCCTAATCCTCCTGCCTCCATATCCCAAATGCTAGTATTTAGGCTACACCACCAGACCCAGCTTCTGCCTGAGAAATCCTAAAAGTAAGCCCAAAGTATTTGTTTCTAAGTAATTTAACTGTGTCTAAGAACAAAGCTCAAGAAAATTTATAAAATAGAAACAATTTATCACTCAACAGTAAAAGGTTAACAATTTCTGGCATCTAATCAGAGGTTACTAGTCAGGAAAATACAGTATTAATGGGGGAAAATAGATTAATTAGAACTGACACACATTTTGGAATTATCATCAGAGGGTGATAAGATGAATACATGTCAGTGGGAGGAATAAATTGTGATTCCTCTACCCCCATAGACCTTGGGTCCCATTCTTAATACAGTAAGCCTAGGAAAAGGAAGAGGCCTCCATCGGCGCCCTAACACTCATATTGTTCTGCCTTTCTATGGCTCCATTCTCAAGAAGCTTAGTGTTCTTTCCCCCAGATTGCCTGTCAGTTTCTATTGGCAATAAGTCCCAGAGAATTTACAATATAGCATCCTTCACCATTTTTTCATCTTTGCACAGTTACTTAGAGTGCTGTATCCGAGTTGAGTTTGTTTGAATATCACTGTTGATTTTGGGGTTTACAGGCAATGAAGAGCAACCAGAGAAACCTCACTTTGATTGTCGCAGCGTGATATTTGAACTGGATTCGTGCAATGGCAATGGGAAGGTTTGCCTCGTCTACAAACATGGGAAACCTGGTAAAGATCATTTCCAAAGCATGATACTACAGTATGGATGTGGTCATCATTGAACTTGCCTGTCAGCCATCAGTGAACAAAAAACTCTCTGGGATGCTTCCAGGTCTCTTCTTTGTGCCAAGACTCAGCCCCTCTTGTCCTCTCTGAACATCTCCTACTAGGCTTATTTCTCTGTTCCATCACCTTGTGTAAGTCCCTGTGACCATCACTGGGACAGATGAAAAAAGCTTCAAGAGCTAGTTCATAAGACCGTGCATTAGATAAGCATTCAGGAAATATGTTACCTTTCTTTTATACTTTACATGTGGGCCAGTTAAGAGCAATAGAAACCTGAATTACTAGACCTCAAGTCCCCACACTGAAAACCAAGAGAAAGCAGTGCTTAATGATAGTTCCTGAGAAGAGACTGCACACCTAAACAGAAACTACCACCTGTTTCTTAGTGGAACTTAGGGACCAAATCTAGAACTGAACACCGTTAAGCATTCTTCTTATCTCTTTCTGGTGGTGAAGAGGCATAAACGTTAGAAATCACCTCAGGAGAGAAGAGATCGTTTCCAGGTAAAGCCGTTGTAGCTAAAGACTTGGAGTTGCATTGTACACAGTGGCTGGAAATTAGATATGAGGAAGGAGGGAAAGAGGCAACCAAACAAAGGGACAGATGGCTAAAAGCCATTATCTAGAAAAAGTTCAACTGATTTGTGGTAATAACAGTTCTGTTTTAATGAGCTTAAGTGGTTTGCCTAAGCTTGTCTCATTCAAAGAAGGAGCCTGAATGCCAACCGCTTCCTCTCATGCAGAGCTTGGACAGCCAAGCAAAAAGGCCTAGTCAACTGTGGAAGACTGAAGAGTTGTCCAAGGCTGTTTCCGAGAGTGACAGGATTCAAATGAAAATGGGCAGGTAGTTTTGGAAAAGGAAAAGAATAAATGGGAAACACGTAGGGAGAGATGTTCCAGCTCTCTAGAAAACTAATGAGCCAGATAGGCTAAAGGTGACAGAAATGGAAGCCACAGACAGATACAAGATAAGAACTGGCATAGTAGTGCCTGGGTTAGCTGACCTGGGATAGGCTATCATGTGAGCAGGATTGCAGGAGAGAGGTGATGTAGACCGGTGGTTCTCAGCCCTTTGGGAGTCAAATGACCCTTTCACAGGGGTCACCTAAGACCATTGGAAACACAGATACTTACATTATGATTCATAACAAAATAATTTTATGGTTGGGAGTCACCACAGCATGAGGAACTGTATTAAAGGGTGACAGGGTTAGGAAAATTGAGAACCACTGGTCTAGGCTCTTTCACATTGGTTTTTGTTTTCATAGCACTTTTGATTAGAGACCTCTTTTTAAAAGATTGATCATTCAGAGTTGCTATCCATCAAAAAAAAGGGGGGGGAGTCCACTCAGAACAGAAGCATCTGCTAAGATAGCCTTAATGAAATGCCTCAAGGTCAAAGCCAACAGAAAGAGCCATGGTGTGATCAGTCAGGAACCTATGAGTATTAAATAAACAGGTAAAATCAGCCCTGGGAGAACAGAATTGGGAAAAGGGAAAGGGTTTTGTTTTATGTTTTAAAACCTTTCTGCTATGGATTTCTCCTGATTGCCGATGTTTATTGACATTTTCGTTACAAGGGCAAACATGTTAAGCTGTCCCTTTCTTGTTGTGCTGTTTAGGATTAGCTCACGACACTGAGATCTGGTTCCTGGACAGAGCATTATACTGGCATTTTCTCACAGATACCTTTACTGCCTATTACCGCCTGCTCATAACCCACCTGGGCCTGCCCCAGTGGCAATATGCCTTCACCAGCTATGGCATTAGCCCACAGGCCAAGGTAAGGAGAGAACTCCCACAATCTCAAATCTGATGTGTATCAAGAATCACCTGTGGAAATGTTACATTCCAAATTCCCCATCTGCAGTAATGGATCAAGGGGCGGGACCCATGTTTTTAATATGTAGGACTAGTGATTCCAATGTTGACTGAAAGCCTTACATGATTTGGATCTAATTAAGTAATCCCAATCAACTGGGGTGTTATCTTTAATTAAATGTCACTGAGGGCTTGGGTCCAGACAACTGGTTTTTGATTTACAATACAAGCACTTAAAAGGTTTAGCAAGTTTCTAATTCCCTTCTGCTCCCGGTATACATCCCCATTGGCAGGCACAGCTGTCAGTATATATGCCCTCCTTGAGAGACTCATTACATATAAAGCATTAACATGTCTTTTGTATCTTTGTGCTAACACAAATGTAGTAATTTTGCAGTTTTTATGTATTTTTTATTTTATAAGCGCTCTTATTTACTTAAAAGTTCCCTCACTCTCCCATGCTCTCCACAGACCCCACCCACCCACTTCCCAGGGATAGTGAATGCCCTCCACAGGATCATCAAAGTCCATCACATCATTTGAGGGAAGGCCCTCCTTCCCTTATCTGGGCTGCAATAGTATCCCTCCATAGGGAATGGACTCTAGAGAAAAACACTGGCTCTACTGTTAGAGGTCCCATAGACTGCCCTGGCCTCCTAGCTGGCACCCACATTCAGAAGGCTTGGTTCGCTCTAATGCTGGTTCCCCAGCTTTACAACTAGGGTCTCCATGCTCTCACTAGGTGAGGTCAATTGTTTCTGCCGGTTTCTCCAGCACCGTCTTGGCTCCTATGCTCATCCCTCCTACCTCTTCACAGCTAGATTCCAGGAGTGTGGCTCAGTGTTTAGCTGTGGGTACCTCTTTCTGCTTAGATCAGCTACTGGATGAAAGGCTCTAGAAGTGGCAAGCAATGTAATCCTCAATCTTACTATAGGGGAAGGGCATCAAAGGCAGCCTCTCCACCACTGCCTGGATTCTTAGTTGGGGTCATCCCTGTGGATCCGCTAATATTTCCCCCGTGCCAGACCTCTCTCCAAACTGTACTGGCTCCCTTTATCAAGGCATCTCCTTTCTTGCCCTCCCCTATTCCTCCCCTGTCTCAATCCTCCTGTTCTCCTCCGCTCCCCTCCTTTGCCCATCCCCCCCCCCCCCCCCGTGCTCCCAATTTTCTCAGGGGTATCATGCGATCTTCTCTTGGGGTCCTTCTTATTTCATAGTTTCTCTAGTGGTATAGTTTGTAGGCTGGTAGTCCTTTGCTCTATGTCTAATATCCATATGTGAGTGAGTACATACCCTGCTTGTATTCTGTGATTGGATTACCTCTCAGGATGTTTTCTTTCAGTTCCATCCATTTGCCTGAAAAGTTCAAGGTTTCATTGGTTTTTTCACTGAGTAATACTCTATTGTGTAAATCTACCACATTTCTTCCATCCATTCTTTGATTGAGGGGCATCTAGGTTGCTTCCAAGTTCTGGCTATTACAAATAGTGCTGCTATGAACATAGTGGAACAGATGTCCTTTTTGTATGAAGATGTGTTCTTTGGGTATATGCCCAAGAGAGGAATTGCTGGATCTTGAGGTAGACTGATTCCCATTTTTCTGAGAAACCACCATACTGATTTCCAAAGTGGCTCTAACAAGTTTGCACTCCCACCAGCAGTGGAGGAGTGTTCCCCTTTCTCCATATCCTCTCCAGCATAAACTGTCATTGGTGATTTTGATTTTAGCCATTCTGGTAGGAGTAAGATGGTATCTCAGAATTGTTTTGATTTGCATTTCTCTAATGGCTAAGGATGTTGAACACTTAAGTGTCTTTCAGCCAATTTGGATTCCTCTATTGAGAATTCTCTATTTAGTTCTGTACCCTGATGGGGGAAGTCCTTCTGTGTATATGTTGTCTGATTGGTTGATAAATAAAACAGTTGGCCAATAGGGAAGCAAAATAGGTGGGACTAGGAGTCGAGGAGGATTCTGGGAAATGTAGTCAAGGGAGAGTTGGCGTGGGAGCCTGGAAAGGGGACACATAAGGCTGCATCCTTGGTAAGATAAGATCTTAATTGGATTATTTGGTGTTTGGTGACTAGTTTCTTGAGTTCCTCATATATTTTGGAAATCAGCCCTCTGCCAGATGTGCAGTTGCTGAATATCTTTTCCCATTCTATGAGCTGCCATTTTGTCTTATTGACTGTGTCCTTTGCCTTACAGAAGCTTCTCAGTTTCAGGAGGTCCCATTTATTAATTGTTGATCTCAGTGTCTGTGCTACTAGTGTTATGTTCAGGAAGCTATCTCCTGTACAAATTCATTCAAGGGTACCTCCCACTTTCTCTTCTAAGAGGTTCATTGTGACTGGATTTATGTTGAGATCTTGGATCCATTTGGACTTAAGTTTTGTGCATGGTGATAGATATGGATCTATCTGCATTTTCTGCATGCTTGAATCCAGTTATGCCAGCACCATTTGTTGAAGATGCTTTCTTTTATCCATTGTATAACTTTAGCTTCTTTGTCAAAAATCAGGTGTTCATAGGTGTGTTGGGTTAATCTCAGGGTTTTTAATTTGATTCCATTGGTCTACCTGTCTATTTTTGTGCCAATACCAAGCTGTTTTCAGCACTATAGCTCTATAATAGGCCTTGAAATAAGGGATGGTGATGCCTCCAAAAGTTGCTTTATTGTACAGGGTTGTTTTGACTATCCTGGGTTTTCTTTGTTTGCTTGTTTGTTTCTCCTTATAAAGTTGAGAATTGTTCTTTCAAGGCCTGTGAAGAATTGTATTGGGATTTTGATGGGGATTGCATTGAATCTGTAGATTGCTTTTGGCAAGTTGCCATTTTTACTATGTTGATCCTACCTAACCAAGAGCATGGTAGATCTTTCCTTTTTCTGGTATTTTCTTTAATTTCTTTCTTTAAAGACTCAGAGTTCTTACTATACAGGTCTTTCACTTGTTTGGTTAGTATTACCCTGAGATGTTTTATGTTGGTTGTGGAAATTGTAAAGGGTGATATTTCTGATTTCTTTTTCATACTGTTTATTGTCCGTATACAGTAGGGCTACTGATTTTTTTTTAGTTAATTTTGTATTCTGCCACTTTCCTGAAGATGTTTATCAGGTGTAGGAGTTCTCTGGTAGAGTTTTTCAGGTCACTTTATGTAAACTATCATTATCATCTGCAAATAGTGAAAGTTTAACTTCTTCCTTTCCAATTTGTATCCCCTTCATGTCCTTTTGTTGTCTTATTGCTCTAGCTAGAACTTCAATTAAAATATTGAAGAGATATATGCAGAGAGTGGACAGCCTTGTCTTGTCCCTGATTTTAGAGGAATCGCATTGAGTTTCTCTCCATTTAGTTTGATGTTGCCTGTTGGTTTGCTGTATATTACTTTTGTTATGTTTAGGTATGTTCCTATTATTCCTGATCTCTCCAAGACCTTCATCATGAAGGGTTGTTGGATTTTGTCAAAGGCTTTTTCAGCATCTAGTGAAATGATCATGTGGTTTTTCTTTTTCAGTTTGTTTATATGGTGGATTACATTGATGGATTTTCATATGTTGAACCATCCCTGTATCCCTGGGGTGAAGCTTACTTGATCATGGTGGATGATTTTTCTGATATGTTCTTGGATTCAACTTGCCAATATTTTGTTGAGTATTTTTGCATCTATGTTCATGAGGGGTATTGGTCTGTAGTTTTCTTTCTTAGTTGTCTTTATGTGTGGCTTGGGTACCAAGGTAATTGTAGCCTCATAAAAAGAATTTAGCAATGACCCTTCTGCTTCGATTGTGGAACAATTTAAGGAGTACTGGTATTAGCTCTTCTTTGAATTTCTGGTAGAATTCTGCACTGAAACCATCTGGCCCTGGGCTTTTTGGTTGGGAGACTTTTGATGACTGCTTCCATTTCATTAGGGGTTATAGGTCTATTTAAATTGCTTCTCTGTTCTTGATTTAATTTTGGTCAGTTCTATCTATCCAAAAAATTGTCCATTTCCTTTAGATTTTCTAATTTTGTGGAGTACAGGTTTTCAAAGACCTGATGATTCTCTGGATTTCCTCAGCGCCCGTTGTTATGTTCCCCTTTTCATCTCTGATTTTGTTAATTTGCATGTTCTCTCTCTGCCTTTTGGTTAGTTTGGATACAGGTTTGACTATCTTGTTGATTTTCTGGAAGAACCAACTCTTTTTATATCGATTCTTTGTATTGTTTTGCTCGTTTCTACTTGATTGATTTCAGCCCTCAATTTGATTATTTCCTGGAGTCTACTCCTCCAGTGTGAATTTGCTTCTTTTTGTTCTAAAGCTTTCAACTGTGCTGTTAATTCTCTAGTGTGACTATTCTCCAGTTTGTTCATGTGGGCACTTAGTGCTGTGAACTTTCCTCTTAGCACTGCTTTCAGAGTGTCCCATAAGTTTGGGTGTGTTGTACCTTCATTTTCGTTGAATTCTAGGAAGTCTTTTATTTCTTCCTTGACCCAGGGATGGTGCCATTGTGCATTGTTCAATTTCCATGAGTTTGTAGGGTTTCTGAAATTTGTGTTGTTTATAAATTCTAACTTTAAACCGTAATGGTCCGATAAGATACATTGGGGTTATTTCAATTTTTTTGCATCTGTTGACAATTGTTATGTTGCCAAGTATGCAGTCTATTTAGAGAAGATTCCATGTGGTGCTGAGAAGAAGATATATTCTTTTGTGTTTGGATGGAATGTTCTATAGATGTCTGTTAAGCCCAATTGGGTCATAACTTCTGTTGTTAGTTCTTTTCTTTTCTAAGTTTCTGTCTAGCGATCCTGTTTACTGGTGAGAGCAGGTTGTTGAAGTCTCCTACCATAAGTGTGTAAGGTTTTTTTTGTTTGTTTGTTTGTTTGCTTTTGTTTTTTCGAGACAGGGTTTCTGTGTTGTTTTGGAGCCTGTCCTGGAACCCACTCTGTAGACCAGGCTGGTCTCGAACTCACAGAGATCTGTCTGGCTGTGTGTGAGGTTTTATGTGTGATTTGAGATTTAGTAATGTTTCTTTTACAAATGTGGGTGCTTTTGTATTTGGGACATAGATGTTAAGAATTGAGATTTCATCTTGATAGACTTTTGCTGTGATGAAATGCCCTTCATCTCTTTTGAATGATTTTAGTTTGAAGTCTAATTTTTAGATACTATGATTGCTACACCAGCTTGTTTCTTAGGTCTATTTGATTGGAAAATCATTTCCCAACCCTTTACTCTGAGGTAACATTTGTCTTTGATGTTAAGATGTATTTCTTGTATGCAGCAAAAGGATGGGTTCTGCCTTCATATCCATTCTGTTAGCCTGTGTCTTTTTGTAGGTAAGTTAAGACCATTGACATTGAGGGATATTAATGACCATTGATAGTTTGGATTTGTTGTTGGTGATGTTATTGTGTGTGGGTGCCCCCCCTTTTTTTTCTTTTGGTGTTTGGTGAAGTGGGATTATTTATTGCCTGTTTTGTGAGTGTAGTTATCTTCTTGGTTGCAGTTTTCCTTCCAGTACTTTCTGTAGGGCTGCATTTGTGGGTATGCATTGTTTAAATCTGGTTTTTTCATGGAATATCTTGTTTTCTCCATCTATAGCGACTGAAATCTTTGCTGGGTATTGTAGGCATCCATGTTCCCTTAGCATTTGTAGAACATCTATCCAGGATCTTCTGGCTTTCAAGGTTTCTATTGAGAAATCAGGTGTAATTCAGATAGGTCTGCCCTTATATGTTACTTTGCCTTTTTTTTTCCGCTGTTCTTAGTATCTTTTCTTTATTCTGTAAGTTTGGTGTTTTGATTATGATGTGGCAAGGGGACTTATTTTTGTGGTCCAGTCTATTTGGTGTTCTGTAAGCTTCTTGTACTTTCATAGGCATATCCTTCTTTAGGGGAAGTAGTCTTTGATTTTGTTGAGCATGTTTTCTGTACCTTTGAGCTGTATTTCTTCACCCTCTTCTATATCTCTTAATCTTAGATTTGGCCTTTTCATGGTGTCCCATATTTCCTGGATATTTTGTGTTGGGGTTTGTAGGACTTGAGATTTTCTTTGGTCAATGACTGTGTATCCTCTAGTGATCCTCAGATCTTCAACACCTGAGATTCTCTCTTCCATCTCATGTATCCTATTGGTTATATTTGCTTCTATAGTTCTGATAGTGTACCCAGCTTTTCTATTCCCAACATTCTTTCATTCTGTGTTTTCTTTATTGTTTCTAGTTCAGCTTTCAGGCTTTGAACTGTTTCCTTCACTTGTTTGGTTGTTTTTTCTTGACTTTCTTTAGATTCTTTAGTTTATTTCTTGAATTTTTTGGTTTGTCTTTTCTTTCCTCCATTTCATGTATTTTTTGTTTGTTTTTTCTTCTATTTCTTTAAGGGATTTTCTCCTTTCCTCCTTAAGGATCTCTATCATCTTCATAAAATAGTTTTTAAGGTCCTTCTCTTCTGCTTCATCTGCGTTGGGATGTCCAGGTTTTACTGGTGTGGAGTCCCCAGATTCTGGTAGTGTCATATTGGTCTGTCTATTGCTGAGTGTGTTCTTATGCTGTCTTCTTTGAGTGGATGCAGGTGGGGTCTCTCCCTCTCCTCTAGTCTCCTGGTGGCATATGTGGGCCAAGACTTTAGTGTCTGCAACTCTAGATATTCTGGTCTCTCCTGGTATTCTCCTCACTCAGGTGCAAGGCATAGGGGGGCAGAGGGCAGGGGGTAAATGGAGAGCCAAGAGTAAGGTGTGGCCAGCCTCAGGGTGGTCCTTCCTGCTGCGGCAAATCCACTCTACTCCAGGAGCAGGCCCAGGAAGATCCAAGGAGGGCGTGATGGCAAGAGTTGGGGCCGGAGAAGAGCCCACACTTACCTAAAGCAGAGGGCGCGGGGTGGAGGGGAACCAAGAGTCGTAATTGTGCCCTTTTACATTTAGCACTCCATTGTAGAGCTCTTTCATGTCAGTGCATATAGAGCTGCCATCTGTAATTACAGACTGGGCATCAGGGCAGAGATGCCAGCTTTATACAGCCTGTATCGAAAACACACAGTGGTCACTAGAACTCTTCACTGGAATGAACTGGTCTGCTGTAAAGAGAAATCATAGTGATTTCTTACAGCTCTTCATTAGCAAAACATTCGAGACTGCATTCCACTGCAGCTTTACTAGGTAGGACCTCATTCATCTCACATTTTTTATAAGAGCAGCTTCCATGTAAGTAATGCTGTCAAATGTGTTGGTCAAACAGTGGCGCAAAAGAAAAAAAAAGTGACTGCCTGAGAAACTGCAGGTATAGAGTACCAGCACACAGCTTACCATATGAAAGTCCTGCACAACCTCCATCACACCACTTGGAGGGTTGGTGATACTGGGGTATCCATGGTGGGCACCATCTACCTTGGTGGCAAGCAGGACAGTGTCCCCTGGTGGGCTCACAGTTCTCATACTGCATTTATTTTGGAGACCTTGAAAAGCACTGTATCTGCTTGATCAAGAGTTGATGGAGTCTCTCAGCACTTACTGTGAAGAACTCAGTTTTTCATAAAAATATGTATAAACTCAGTATTACATCACTGGATGTATAGACAAGAAATGTTTTAGGTTTTATAGCCTTTTGAATTTTGAAATGTCACATACATTACCAGTTGACATGTAACGAAAGTGGGGGTGAGTGATGGTCAGATTGTAATGTCTGTCCTCTGCGCCCCTGTTCTTGGCCCTGTCTCACTCAAAGTCTTCTCCTCTCTGCCTTACAGCAATGGTTCAGTATGTACAAACCCATCACCTACAACACAAGTCTGCTCACAGAAGAGACCGACTCCTTTGTGAACAAGCTGGACCCCAGCAAAGTGTTCAAGAGTAAGAACAAGATCTTAATCCCCAAAAAGAAAGGGCCTGTGCAGCCTGCCAGTGCCCAGAAAGGACCTGTGCCTGTAGCTTCTCCTACCCCTAAATCTTCCTCTGGCTCTGCAAATCCTATCCGAAAATAAGCATCCCATCAACCTCAGAGCAGTGATATCAGAGCACGGATGCCCTGGGGTGGCCCCATCCTCACACACTTTGTGACTGCAGGCATTCTCCAAAGGCCAAGAGTTGGAAAGCCCACACTGAATTATCCCCAGGAGTTCTTTAACCCCGTAAGTTGTGCTAATTCCTTCTCCAAAACCAGCTAAGACTTTCAGATGTATCTAGAGGGTTTTGTTTCCATGTCTGTACCCAATCCTTAACGAAGTCTTAGCAGTAGTTAAAGAGGTCCTTCACAATAAACCCACGGCTCAGCTCATGAAACATCGGTAACCACCTCAGATAGGAAAACTTTACACCCTCAGGCGCATTGGTCACATCCCAAATATGCACATGATAGTGGATTCCAGATTGGATAACCCTGGGATAGCATTTCATGCGAACATTTTCAAACTGTTAATGTATAATGTTGATGATGTAATGCTATATGTTTTGAGAAGACACTTTTCAGAGACACAGTCTTGTGTTCTCTACAACGTATACCATAAACATATCTCACTTGAGTTTCTTTTTTTTAATTCACTATAAAATCCCATGTTCCTAATCATTTACCTATAAGGAAGTTTGTTTCCAGCTTTGTTGTTGATATGTCTATATTTGCCAAAACCATCTTTTTAAAGATGCTGTGTTTTATCTGTTAAAGCCCCTGGTATTCATTTGCAGATAAAGAGAGTCTGTTCACAAGAATTTCCAAGTGTTCTGCTTATTCAGAGTTGAGCCGTCTCTCCCAACTACCTCTGTTCTAAGCAGTGGCATGCCTAGAACAGTGTGGGGTGCCAAGAGGCCTTTGTAAGTAAGTGTCCTGTAAGTCAGGAAACATAGTGGTATTAGACACTGAGCCACCCCACAGGCTTATCTTGTGTTAAATATCAGGCATATAACAGAATTTCTGTAAAGAAATAACTCTGACTTTCAGGTAAGACTATCTTATTCCTTCCTCTGCAGTCCTGGCAGCGGGCAGGACTTACCCATCTAGTCCAGTGTTCTTGATGGCTGCACTTTTGTACTGATACTCCAGGGTAGAAGAATAAAGAGTTCTGAGGAGGGGGAGCCGCACATTCCCTTTACCATTGGCTAAATTATTCTTTCTGCCAGTGTTGTCCGGGTTCTGTGTGTGCTGCCTCTACCCACAGGTCATTCTAGGGCTTCTCTTCTCTAGGATGTGATGGGGGCTAGAAGTCCCTATCACTCTCTGCCTGTACTTCGAATGTTTAGGGAAATTTAACTGTGTTGAGGGCATCGACTGCTCATGCATAGAACCCAAATTCACTTTCTAGCAGCCACATGAAACAGCTCGCAGCCACCCGTAACTCCAACTCCAAGGAACCCAAAGTGCTCTCTGGCCTCCACAGGCACCTACGCACACACAAAGAATAAAAATACTTGAAAAACTTATTTTCCGTTGTCACTGTTCACTATAAAATGATATTCAGGAAGGGGGTCAGGAAGGGGGTCTTCAGTCTATGTTTTAAAATTTCTATTGCTAAGAGACATGGTGCTGGCTATGTCTTGATCAGAAGACAAGAAGTGGTTTGGGACACTGGGACTTGAGCAAAGGAGACCTCAACTCCCACCCCACACTTCTTCCAACAAGGCCACGCCTTGTAATAGTGTCATTCCCTTTGAGTTTGTGGGGTCAGTTGCATTCAAGCTACCATAGTCTTCCTCCTCCTATGGGCCGGCTGCATCCACATTTTTTAAATAGTTCTGATACTGAAATACGAGTACTCCCGTGTATTCGGGAGCACACGGAGCTTCATGTTAGTAGTGTATTCCATTGTTTTAAATCATGTTTCAAGACAAGATCTATCCACATAACCCAGGCTAGCTCAGTTTTGCAGTTGTTCTGCCAGTTGTTTTCCCAGTGCTGGAATCGGGCAGCACCACCACGCCTGTCCCCTTCTAGTGGAAAATGTTTTCAAACATCATCACTCATCTGCTGCAGCTTCAAAACCAACCATATAACATTCAGTGTGGCCAAAACCAGAAAATTCTATTTGTGTAACTTTCATGATTCTGTGACTGTTGGATTATCCCTAATTTAGAAGATAATTTGAACCTATCTATATATAGAAAGAGATAAATTTAAATTAGAAACAAGGTTGCTTCACATGTCAATTCCAGGTCCCTCTCTCTTTCCCTCCCTTCCTCCTGCGCCCTCCCACCACCCCCCCCAATATCCCCTTGTTTCATCCAGGACAGGGCCTAGACCCTCCCCCAAGAGTTCAGGGTGAGAGTGCATCTCTCATTGTTGGACGGGAGTCCAAAGTCCATTTGTATACCCGGGATAAATATTGATCTACTACCCAAGGCTCAATAGACTACCTAGGCCTCCTCACTGAATTTGAGCCTTTTTTTGAAATTATATTTTATTGCACTTGAGTACTTAAAAATGTGTAACAATTCCAAGGAAAACCAACCATACCAGACCATGATTTGTCTGCTTCTGTGTTAAGGTTAGAAGCAATCACAGTATCTCCATGTAGTAGGTATTGTTTGGTTAGTATTTGTGGAGCCTTTGAATATTTGAATTTGATTCCAGTTATATAGCACAAATGAAGCAATCACTAGAGGAGCCAAAGGAGTGGTGAACACACCCGAATCTTCTGTGCTCCTGCATGCACTCATTTGTCTCATTATACTTCCCTTAAAGAACACACAAGATCAGAATTAAGCAGAGCAGTAACTCAGATGTGAAGACCTGTATAGGTGGCCTGTGCAAATGCATATGCCACTCACTCAGGGAGCTGGCTATTCTGAGAGAAAAAAGTGTTAACACAGAAACTGACTGAGTTAAATGGGGGAAAATACTCATGAGACTGATGGTTTTGAAAATGCAGTTAAGCCAAGCAATGGTGGTGCATTCCTTTAATCCCAGCACTCAAAAGACAGAGGCAGGCAGATCTCTCATAGTTCAAAGTCAGCCTGGTCTACCAATTGAGTTCCAGGATAGCCAAGGCTGTTACACAGAGAAACCCTGTCTCAACACACACACACACACACACACACACACACACACACGCACGCACACGCACAAATAAAATCTCTTTTTAAAAAGGGCAGTTAAAATGTTAGTATGCTGTACAAGAAACTTAATGCCCAGGAAAAGGCACTGTACTACAGTGACAAAATGAGAACAGAACAGAACACCTCATGATGGACTGATGTAGCTAGTACCATGCACAAAGTGTCACATCATCCTGCTTAGAGAGAGGTAACCTGGCCAGAGACAGGAAGAAAGGGTCCAGCTAACATGCACACAATAGCCTATAGAACCTAAGGCTTAAAGCTGTTATCTCTAGACTTAGAATTGAGATAACCCAGTCACAAACAGGCAAACATGGTATGTACTCACTCATATATGGATTTTAGGCATGGATCAGGGGAGTGCCAGCCTACAATCCCACTGCCAGAGAGTCTGGGAAACAGGGAGGACCCTAAGAGAGAGACGCATGGTACCCCAGAGAAGGGGAATGAGCCAAGGTCTCCTGAGCAGATTGGGAGCCTGGGGGAAGGGAGAGGGAATTGGGGAAGGGAAGAGGAGGACATGGGGGAGCAGGAAGGTTGAGTCGGGGGAAGAATAGAGGAGAGCAGGATGAGAGATACCATAATAGAGGGAGCCATTATAGGTTTGAAGAGAGATCTGGCACTAGTGAGATTTCCAGAGATCTACAAGTATGATACCAACTGGCAAACTAAGCAATAGTGGAGAGACTACCTTAAATTTCCATCCCTGATAATGAGTTTTGACGACTACCTTATATGCTGTCCTAGAATCTTCATCCAAGTGACTGATTGAAGCAGAGGCAGATACACACAGCTAAACACTGAACTGAACTCCTGGAACCCAGTGACAGAGGGAGGAGTGATAAGCAAATGGGTCAAGACCAGGCTGGTGAATCCCACAGAAACTGCTGACCTGAACAAGGGGGGAGCTCATGGACCCCTGACTGATGGCTGGGAAGCCAGCATGGGACTGATCCAGACCCCCAAATGTGGTTGTCAGCAAGGAGGCCTGGACAATCTATGGGGCCCTGGGCAGTAGATCAGTATCTGTCCCTGGCATACAAATGGACTTTGAGTGCCCATACCACAAAGAGGGATGCTCTCTCAATCTGGACACTTGGGGGAGGGCCTAGGCCCTGCCCTGGAAGAAATGACAGACTCTGGAGATTCCCATGGAGGGCCTCACCCTCCCTGGGGAATGGAGTGGGGATTGGGTGGGGGGCTGGGGGGGAGGAGGGGATGGAGAGGGAACTGGGATTGACAGGTGAAGCAAGCTTATTGCTAATTTAAATTTAAAAAATGGTCACCAAGTCATTGGTATCATGTGGAAAATAAAACCCTTGGATCCCACTTCAGATCTACAAAATCAGAATTGCCAAAAAAGATTCAGGTATCAGGATTTTCTTTCTTCCTTCCTTTTTTTTTTTAAGACAAGGCCTCACCATGTAGCTCAGGCTGACTTATAGCTATGTAGTCTACCATTCTACAATACAGTTTCTATTATAGATGTATACCACCATGCCCCGTGTGGAATTTTTTCAGTCAATTTGACTGTAATACTGAATCTGAAACTTTCTAGCTAAGGTCTGATTGGTTTGGCTTTAATTTCATGAAAAATACAATATTTTGGTAATCTAGTAAAGCATGTATAATAATGGAAATAGACTAATCAGGTTTTTCACTTTTTGCATGTTGTATTTTCCTAAGGTGTTGTATTGGAGACTACTAACCATTTGCAGATATAAATACAACAGTATAATGAATCTGCTGTGTCTATCACAGTTTCAGTAGTTACCATGTCATGGCTAACATTTTAGCTATATTCCCTCCTTCTCCAATTTTGTCTTTTAAATAATTGCAACCTATTAGTTTTTTAAGCCATGTGCCTTTAGGGTTTGGCCATTGCTTCGGTGGTTATAACAGATGTTACTTTCTCTGTTCAGTGCGATAGTTTACATAGGGTCCCTGGTCACATTATTTGTGCAGTGTAATTCTGACCGTTCATTATAGGTGAATGGACTACAGGTAGGTAGCAAACCATGTTGGCTGTGTTCTTACCTTTGGAATATGTTGATAAATTTTCTCCTTTGGCTTCAGTCAATCCCACTAGATTCTGTTTTTCCAGCTGTACCATAACCAAAAGTAGCATATAGACAAGTATTTTCAGCTTACAGTTCCAAAGGGAGAGAGAGTCCATAATGGTGAGGGAGGCATTGCTGTGGGTGGTCTGCACAGGAAACTGAGAGCATCTTCACTGCAAACATGATGCAGAGAGAACCAGAAGCAGGACACCGCCGTATAGTTTCCTCCAGCAAGGCCACACTTCCTAGATGTTCTATGACCTCAAACGGCACCGCCAGGCATTTTCGTTATAAACCCACATGGCTTCCATTGTGGAGCTGTGCCTCCTAAATGAGCTAATGCACAGAGTTAGCACTCAGCAAAGGCAGTTGCTGCCTTTCCTGTTCTTCCTTTGTAATGTGACCCCAGTGTCCCTAGCCCATTCTAGCAGCTGTCCTAAGCTGTTCATTCTTTGCTCCCAGGACCCCAGCTCGGCTCTGCCTGTGCCTTTGTACTGCAGTTTCCTCCTGAGGCTCACCTCTAGTGTGCTTCTACCCAGAGCTCCATGAAGCCCCAGCTCCCTTTTAAGGAGAGCACCAGGGAACGTTGGTCATCTTACC